TGGTGACCTCACGTGAGCCCCACCTCCAAACCCTGCCAGGCGGGGGGCAGCAGCAGGGTGGTCCTCTGGTGTCCAGCCCTCGGGGTCACCGCCTTCTCTGCTACCCGCAGAGCGTGGCCTGTTGGCTCTTCCCCCGCCTTCTTGCTGGAATTGAGCTGCCCACAAACATGCCGGGATTTCGCATGGCCGTTCCTTCCCGCGTGGCTCCTACTCGGTGACCCCGCCACACGGAGCCATGGGCTCCGAAACGACTCACAAACCAGGTAACGGATCACAAACAATGCAGACTCAGTCTGAGTTCTTGTCCAATGAATCCCTGCAGACAGCACCACGAACACCAGACCCTTCCTCTCGCAGAGGCGTGGGGACGGGGCCACCGGCTGTCCCCGTGGCTCCCGATCAGGGTCACCGCAGAGCTCACCAATTTCAAAACCCAGCCGTCTGTAAGAACCTCACTCCTCACTGCAGCCACACGGCTGGGGAAGAAACCGCTACTCTCCCAACAGCATGGGAGCTTCAACAAGGCTTTTCATGACACAAAGAACAGAAACCAGTAAAAAGCTTAGAGTCAAAAAGTTTAATTTTATTACAATTGTTTTTAAAGTCAGCAACGATCTTGATAAATTTCATGGTTAAGTCTATATAGCGAGTCTCCAATTTCCAGGATACAAAAGACAATAAATATAGATTCAAATCCCCCTAAAAACCAGCTTCCACATTCAGGTAGCTGTGCTGTGGCTCGGTCCCAGGATTCCTTCCACACGTGACTCTGAAGACGCTACAAACTCCTACACGAAGGGCCGCCCACACCCGCCAACACGTGGTTCTGAGCGTGTGGCCTGTGTCCCAAGGTCCTGGGGCCGCCTCCACGGCTCTGGTCCTTCCCGGTGGGGCGGGTGCAGGGGACGCGCCGACCAACAGCGAGCAGGTGGGACACGGAGCCCACGGAGCGGCCCCACTTCTCTCTCAAACAGGACGTCACTGTCTGTCCTCTGCTCCGCGGAACATGCTTCCCCAGCACAGCACGGCCAGTTTATCACGCCAAGGTCCCCCTCGGAGAGCCAACTCCCCAGATCCTTCACCTCCCTCCAGAGCCCATTCCAGATGCCTTCCAGTGACGTCGTCAGCAGTCTTGTGAAATGTTTGCCACAAACAATCACGTCACTTCTCCTTACTGATAACAGATGAGTTCTTCAGAAACTAAAACTCCGTAGTTTCAGGCCAAGCTCCTTTGTCTGGGTTTAATTCTGGGGTACAGCTGCAAGAGAACGGAGGAATGATTTACATGCCGCAGAGACAAAACCTCGAGTATGGGGGTCTGGTGTCACCGGCAAGAAACGAAGAAAAGGACTCTTTCTGCACGTGAGGCACCCAGCGCCGCCCCAGGACACAAGATTCACACTCGGCACCTCCCCTGCAAAGTCACAGGGGGTCCCACGTAAAAATGCAGGTGGTGCTGAGCGCCGGCCCCACCCGCGCGGCCTGCAGCTTCCCGAGCGGACGGGACAGATCAGGGTCTCCTGTAACCTCACTGACAACAGACCCGACTCCGTGACAGGAGACTGAGCGACAGGATGCCACAGACTAAAAGTCTGCCGACTTCAGGGAGGGTAAGTGGAGGTTTCTGCGGGGGGATTTTTGTGGTTTTGTGTTTTCTAGAACAAGAGCCGGAGAGAAGAATGGAAGGTCCTGAAGCCACGGGTGAGTCCAACGAGTCATCCAGCTGGCGCAGTAAACAACCCCCTCCTCCCGCCTACACAACGGGAAAAAGGGTTTGCTGAAAGAAAGTGGAGTCAGACTCCAGCCAAAACTGAAAACCGGGTGATCAACACCACACAAAAGATGATTTTTCCGAGAAAACAACTGGTCAATACAATTTTCTAGACTCAAATTTGAACCTCTGATTAAAAACTCAACATTCACGTGAGTTCCTTTTTTCTTTTAAACTCAAAGGAAACCAAAAAAACGTTACTTAGAGGCAACTTCTACCCCGGGGAGACCTCCAAAAGGCTGGGGTGAACACGAACGTCTCCGACCCAGCCTGACGCGGGCCTCCCGAGGGCCGAGCACCTGGGCCACGCGGCCTCCTCTGTTCAGGAGTCACAGGACCGCTTGGAAAATCACAACAAAAGATTCCAATAAGCAACTAGTTCCGAGAGGTTTTCAGAAGCAGGAAACGTCAAAAGGTAGAACTAGTATTTGCTGCTCATGTTCGGCAGGGAGGCGGCTGCAGAGACTCCGTCGGGCTGGACAGAACTCTGGTCGGGTCACTGGAAAGCTCGTCTAAAGGGCTCCGTGGCCCGGGCACCTCAGGTAAACATCTGACTTAGACTCAGGTCATGATCTCACGGTCTGGGAGTTTGAGCCCCACATAAGGGTCGGTGCTAACAGCTCGGAGCCTGGAGCCGGCTTCGGATTCTGGGTCTCCCCCTCTCTCTGCCCCTCCCCCACTCACGCTCAGTCTCTGTCTCAAAAAAAATTAAAATAAATAAAGGGCTCCATGGCCAAATTTACTTTAACTTTCATCAATTCT